TAGTATACACAGAGTGGCACAGGAAAGGGAGGACCTGCCTGAGTTTGTCCAGCTTTGACCAGGAGAGCATACAAAGCTGGCCAAGTGGCCAGGTATCCTAGGGCTAGTTAGAGCCCCTAGCTTAGCATGTCTGTGATGTTGGGATACCGAGGCAGGGTAGCGAGTAGCCCAGACCCATTGTTAGTTTCATATTAGGATGTGGGGTGTTGGCGAGGGGCAGGGGGTAGTCTCCTTTGCCAACCAACTCCTCCACAAACACTCCACTAAATACCATCTCATTTAATTCTCATTTAAAACTCTCACCATTGCAGTAGACAGCCTTTGTTATTGTGGCCATGGAATAGGCGGGAAGCCAAATGTCCACAGATTATGACTGCTTACTTCCTAGCTTTCATTGGGTGGTAAGTGGGAGGCTCCAGACTTTATGTAAGAACTCTAACCTTGAAGTCAAGGTGTTTAATGAGCCACCCATCCCTTCCTGTGACTTCAGAAAAGTACCTCCCAGGGCTGGAAGAATGCCTCTGTGATTCAAGTTCTTGCCGAAAAGTGTGAGAGCCATAGTTCATATCCTCAGATCCCACATAAATGCTAAGTGGGTGTGGTAGACTGCCTATAATTCAAGCCCCAGAAGGCAGAGCCAGGGGCTTCCCCAGAGCAAGCTGACTAGTAAGAGGAGCCATATCAGTGGGCTCTGGGTGACCCTGCCTCAACGAATAAGGTTGAAAAACAATTACGGATGATCCCTGACATCCACACACCCCACCCACTCACATATGTCCAAACACACACAAATGTGATAAAACCCTGACCAAAAGCAACATGGGTGGGGAAGCCGTTTACTTGGCTTACAGGTCCATCATCTAGGGAAACCAAGGCAGGAATCTAGAGGCAGAGGCTGAAACTCAGACCCTGGAGGAATGCCACTTATTGGCTTACTCTCTTAGCTTCCTCAGCCTGCTTTCTTATACAGCCCAGGCCCATCTATGCAAGGGTGGCACCACCCACAGTGGGCGGGACCCTGGAACACTGATTGGAAATGGAGAAAATACTCCCACAGACATGTCCATGAGCCAATCTATTGGGGGCTGTTCCTCTACTGAGTTTCCCACTTCCCAGATGTATCTAGGTCTGTGTCAACTTGACAACTTGACAAAAACTGTGATAGCTCCCTTTGCTCATTTTTTTGACTCTACTTCTCTGCTTCTCCTGAGCCAATGTTGAACTTGTAGGTGACAAGTGCCTTCAGCATTTTAGGAAGAAATGAAAGTACAGGATACCCAGTTCTGGAAGGAGAACTTGCATTTTCCAAGGACTCTTCCTCATGTCCTAGGGTCCGGTGACTTTTATGATGGCTAACATAGAGTCACCTGGGAAAAGAGTCTTAGTGAAGGATTATACACATTGAGCTAGCCAGTGTCTTTGGGGAATCATCTTAAGTTAATTGATGTGGAAAGACTTAGCCCACTGTGGGCAGCACCATTCCCCTAGGCTGGGGATCCTGGGCTATACAAAAGTGGAGAAATCTAGTGTAATCCAAGGTTAAGGCTTCTCCTAAAGTAATGGGGCATTATCTTTCTTGACTTCCCCCATGCTAGGCAGGAATAGAACCCAGGATTTTCATCCTAGGCCAGCAGCCTCAATCATTTAGTCACACCCCGGCCCCTCACTGGGGGATTCTAGGCAGGTGCTCTACCACTGAGCCACACCCCTACCCCTCACTGGGGGATTCTAGGCAGCTGCTCTACCACTGAGCCATGCCCCTGACCCCCACTGGAGAATTCTAGGAAGGTGCTCTACCATTGAGCCAGGCTCCCAGCCTCTCACTTGGGGATTCTAGGCAGATGCTCTGCCAATGAGACATGCCGCTAGCCTCAAATGCAGGACAACCTGAAGTTAGGGACCATAGGAAACAATGGACAGAGAAAGGACTATCCCTTGCCTGGCCTCAGATTGCCCACTCTTGAGAGCCACACCTCAACTCTTGAGAGTCATGCAATGACTGATTCAGACATCCCCAGCCTTGGGCAGATCAACCCAGGATGGCATTGGCTAGAGCCTGTTCCTCTCATCCTGCCCTGGGAAGATCTAAGTCAAGACATTGTGTCCCCAGAACAGAATTTCCTTGTTTAGGACCTCTTGTCCTACCCTCCTCTCCAGCTCCACAATGCCCTCACAAACCTCCATTCTGGATGTTCATTCTCAGCTAGCCTCCAAACTCCAAAACAGTGCCCTCTAGTGGGCAATACGAATGTTCCTTCTCTAGGAAGACCACAGATTTCAAACAGCTCCCTCCAGTGGACAATATGTATGTTCCTCCTCCAAGATGATCACAAATCTCAAACAGCGCCTCTAGTGGATTGCCCAGGCATGGCAGAAGAACCTATGCCAATTCTACAGCACAGGCTACAAACATGGGGTACAGATTTTGTGGAAAAAATGGGGTGTCTTTCAAATCTGAATATTTCAGATGTGTTTCAGACATGAGGTGACAGAGACAAAGGAAGGTGTCATGGCATTTAGCAGATAGGAACTGTCCCCAAGTACCTGTTCTCCGGCTAAGGGGCCGGGCGTTAGTGGTGCATGCCTTTAATCCCAGCACTGGGGAGGCAGAGGCAGACAGATCTCTATGACTTCCACGCCAGCCTGGTCTACAGAGCTAGTTACAGGACAGGCTCCAAAGCAATACAGAGAAACCCTGTCTCAAAAAACAAAACAAGAAAAAAAGAAAACAAAAAAAAAAAAAAACAAGTATTAAATACCATCAAATTTTAGATCAATATATTTGGACCTCTTTCATAGCAATTACAATATAAGAACTACATTTTGGCCAGTAGTCAATTTCCAGAAAACAGCCTCAATGGGAGTAGGAAAGCTGTCCAATGTTTCTTCCACCCTGATTTTGGTAATGCAGGTGTGATGGCTGATGTTCGAGCAGCCTTAATACACTACATGGTGAGTGGGAGTCACTAGCTGAAGATGGTAAGGCAAGACACAATAAAAGGCACAACAAAGTTCCCTGTAAAATCAGGGTCCCTGATGTCAAGTGCAATGTGACAACCTTACATGACTGTCTTCTGGGTTTCTTCTTCTTTTTCTCCTTCTTCTTCCTTATTTATGGGGGGGTAGGGACACGCCATGGGGCTCATGTGGCACTAAGGGGACACCTTCCAGGGAGTTGGCTCTCTCCTTCCACTATGAGGGTCCCAAAGATGGAACTTAAGATTATGTTTGGGCAAGATCCTTGACTGACTGGTTCATCACCCACCTCTTCCTGTCCTTTTACTTACTAAGCTGCCAAAGTTAATATGGGTTTATATAGATAGCTTATTCCTGTCCCAGATCTTTCCTTCGGTGAAACAAACTCATAATTACAAAGGTCAAGAGATAAACTGCCCAGTATCACTTGTTTTGGGACAATTGGACAAAGAGAACAACATATCATCACTAACAGGGCTCACTTTATAGGCTAACAGCCCCTTGGACAAAACTGGGCTCATTCATTCCCCATTTCCTTCCATGGTTTTTATAATCTAGCAATGCCACGCTCAGAAGCGGCTTCAGACTCTTTGTCTCCCACTGCAACAATAACAAGCCCTGGTCCCTCTTTCCAGAGAGTCCAGGGCACAGATAACGAAGGGCTGATCCCACCCCAGTCTTCAAGACCGGAGTGGCAGCCTCTGGCGCCACCTGGCGATAGTGTCATCGAGTCAAGCACCGACCCGTCGCGGGTGATCTGGCCTGCAGAAGTGTTTCCCGGCATGCCAGGTTCTCCAGGGACAGGAGGGTTGGGGGGTGGAGGGGGATGTCGCAGTTTGGAGAGATGAAAATCGCACATCTGGGAGGGGCTCAACTCTGCACTGGTGTTTTCCTGGGCCAAGCCCTTGCTCCCAGGAGGTGACCGATGAGTGTCTGGGGCTCGAGGAAAAGCGCGTGGCGGCCACAGCGAGCATGCGTGCGCGTGCCCCCTCCCCATCGCTCCACGCAGCGCCCCGCACCGCTCGCGCGCACGCACGTCCCCACGCTCGCTCGAGCAGCCAGTCACCCACACAGCAGCGGCCGGCAGGCTCCAGAGACAGATGCCCCCACCCACCCCGTGAGCCAGTTGTCCCTCTCGCGTAGTGATCTCGCGTGGGCACAAAGCTGTACAATTTCCACCGTCACTCTGGTGCTGATAGGTGGGAGACTCCTTAGAAGGCAGGGCGTATAGACTGTGGGACTCCAGAGCAGGCTGGGGGCTCCAAGGCCAGGCCGCTCCCACCTGCTAGCCACACCGACCAATGAAAGCTTGGCCTGGTGATGTCATGGCCCGGCCGGACCCTTGTGATGACAGCTGGAGGTCACGGGTCAGGGGAATCAGCTCAAGCCCACCCTTGGGGGTTCCGGAAGTTTCCACTCCTGCAGCGGAGTGCAGTCTCTCCCCACAGCCTTCCGCGTGCCTCTATGCGGCTTGCCTTCTCAGCTGACCCCGCCTCACCTCTCTCTGCCCTCGGGGGTCTCCTATGAGGAAGAGCCTATGTCTCTGTATCTGTTCCCACAGGTGTCCTTCATCCCCACAGAGATGCCCCACGTCATTTTTTCTACCAGCGCCAGCTGAAGGGGTCCTCAGCCAAGATTTCACGTGCCGTTTCTCCCATGCCACCCCCACGCTACGTCGTGGTTACAGATGCTCAAGTATTAGGCCTTTGATCTTTCTGGATTAGAGCTGTCACTATATCCCTCCGTCCATGAAAGTCGGTCTGTCTGTGACTTGTCACCGCAGGAGACTGTCGCCTGCGTGAGCGGTGTCTGGTGTCTCCGCAGGCTGCGGTCCGTCTATCTGTCACGTGGGTGTCTGCCCCGTCGCTGCGGGTCTGCGGGTCTGTCAGTCTGTCTGACTCTAACACTGGAGTGTGTCTGGGCCCCCACTCCCTGGGGTCTCGGGGCTTGAAGGGAGGGAGAAGGAGGGGAGGTGGCAGCCCGGGGGAGCAGGGAGGGGCGGGGGCGGAGACAGTGGGCGGGCGGGGGCGCCGTGCGGCCCGGAGGGGTGTGTGCGGGGGGCCGGAGGCGGCTGTCACTGTCGGCTCAGCCTGCGCCGGGGAACATTGGCCGCCTCCAGCTCCTCGGCGCGGCCCGACCCGGCCCGGCTTGGCCGCCTCAGGTGAGTCTCCCAACCCACCCGGGACCCTCCCTCGGCTGGGGACCGATCCGCATCCCGGGAGAACCGAGCGATCCTGGAATGATCGGAGCCCCCAAACAGAGATCCCACTGCACGGTCTGCCTCCCGGGGCCTGCCCAGAGGGCACCCCCACTGCCTCGCACTCCTCTGAAACTCCCGCTAGCAGCTGCATACTTACTGATGATGCTCGCCCGGCCGGCCGCTGCCTCTGCGCTCTCTTCCTGCAGGGACCCCCTGAAGGCCCATTCCCCACTCTCCTCCAAGTCTGGGGACGTTGGAAGACGCCCCCTGTTTGGGGCGGAGCCCAAACTGCGCGGTTACTGACATCCCGACTGCACCAACCCCCATCCCGAGGGCCGCGACCCCAGCGTCCCTACCCAGCTGAGCCCCTGGCCAGCTCCAGGACCCCCTCCTGTGGAGATTCCGTCTCTATTTTCTTTCTTTCTTTTCTAAAGGGAGGCTCAGCGGAAGCCCCGAGTTATAATTAGCCCCACTCGGGTTTCCTGATTAATCTCCAACGCCACTATCCCCAGATCCAGGCGAACAGGGCTGGCTGGGTGATGGGTGAACGCCCGGAGGGGGTAGTTCCGACCCGGGGAATTTTGATCTCTTGGCTGGAGATGCCGGAACTACAGCAGCTGTTGCCCCCAAAATAGCGCCCCTGCCTTTGCAACGGGGATCTCCGGAGCTCCGGGAACACAGGCGTCCTGGCTCGCCCTTCAGTCCCCTCTGCGATGCTCACGATCCTTCAGATTCCCCCATATCAAAGCTCGGGCGGGGAGCGCTGGCCTCTTCTTGGTCTCTACTGCTCCCGGTTGGCAGCGTCGGGCACTGCAATATGGGGATGCAGAGGGGCTTGAGTCCTGGGGAGCCCCTCAAGGGGCTGGTGAGCCAATCGACTGGAGTCAGGCGAGAGGGGTGCGGCTGATGAGAAGCAAAAGGGTACCAACCGGCTGTACCAGGAAGAAGATGAGGCGGAGCAGGGTGGGGCAAGGTGTGGACTGGACAGGATTTGGGATGTCTTCAGGACCGGGGACTTCCAATACCTTAAATGCCCAACCCACTCCTTGAAAGCTTTGGCCAACCCAGGAGAGACTCGGGCTGTGCTTTCTCACCATAACTTGCAAGCTCCTGAAGGGCCCCACCCGTCTCTGAGGGCTCCGCCCCTGTCCTGAGGCCTGTACATGGACTGAGGCCTTTCCAACCTTGGCTGTATGCAAGGGGTCTTAGCCCAAGCCACAGAGGCAGGGGACGGAGGTATGGGAGGCCTTGGAACTTGCTGGGGAAGGGAGAGTATGCCTTAACGGGTCTTATCTCAGTTGGCTGTACTTGTGGTATGGGTGTGTGTATGTGTATGTGTGTGTGTGTCTGATCTTGTATTCCCTCTCATTTGTCTGCCTGTGTCTTTTCTCCTAGTTTGACTCCATTTCTCCCCTCCCTTTGCCAATCTGCCCCACCTCCTCTGCAACTCCTTGATAACCCTCGGGCAAAACTGTTACTTAATCTCTCTCTGAGCTGCCTCCAGTCTTCACCCTTTGCCTTTCTTTCTCCCAGCAGACACCCGCCTGTCTTGGCAGTCATGAGGCCTTCCTGGTATCCCCTGCACACACCCTCCCTGGCTTTTCCACTCCTCTTCCTGCTCATCTCCCTCCTGGGAGGAGGGGCAGGGGCTGAGGGCCGGAAAGACCCACAGCTGCTGGTGACGGTCAGAGGGGGCCAGCTGAGAGGCGTCCGCCTGAAGGCCCCCGGGGGCCCAGTCTCAGCTTTTCTGGGCATCCCCTTTGCAGAGCCACCTGTAGGCTCACGTAGGTTTCTGCCACCAGAGCCCAAGCGGCCCTGGTCAGGAGTGTTGGATGCTACCACCTTCCAAAATGTCTGCTACCAATACGTGGACACCCTGTACCCTGGGTTTGAGGGTACTGAGATGTGGAACCCCAACCGAGAGCTGAGTGAAGACTGCCTGTATCTTAATGTATGGACACCATACCCCAGGCCTACTTCTCCTGCACCCGTCCTCATCTGGATCTATGGGGGCGGCTTCTACAGTGGGACATCTTCCTTGGACGTGTATGATGGCCGTTTCTTGGCCCAGGTTGAGGGGACCGTATTGGTATCTATGAACTACCGAGTAGGAACCTTTGGTTTCTTGGCCCTGCCAGGCAGCAGAGAAGCCCCTGGCAATGTAGGCCTGCTGGATCAACGGCTTGCCTTGCAATGGGTGCAAGAAAATATTGCAGCCTTTGGGGGAAACCCAATGTCAGTGACACTGTTTGGGGAGAGTGCAGGTGCAGCCTCGGTGGGCATGCACATTCTGTCCCTGCCCAGTCGGAGCCTCTTCCACAGGGCTGTCCTGCAGAGTGGTACACCCAATGGGCCCTGGGCCACCGTGGGTGCAGGAGAGGCCAGGCGCAGGGCCACCCTGCTGGGCCGCCTAGTGGGCTGTCCCCCAGGTGGCGCTGGTGGCAATGACACAGAGCTGATAGCCTGCCTGAGGACACGGCCAGCTCAGGACCTGGTGGACCACGAGTGGCATGTGCTGCCTCAGGAAAGTATCTTCAGATTTTCCTTCGTGCCTGTGGTGGACGGAGACTTCCTCAGTGACACACCAGAGGCCCTCATCAATGCTGGAGATTTTCAAGACCTGCAGGTGACTAATGGTTGACCAGATTCTTCTGGGTTTCATCCCTGCCTCCCCTTCCCCAGAGACCCAAGCATGAGGGCTTACTGCACATCCACTGTTAGAGTCCAAGTGTGTGGGTCCCAAGGTCAGTCCCTCCCTGTGGAGGGTTCAGATCCCATAGTGGTTGCTGGGCAAAAAGGAAACTATGGGTATATATATTTTTCTTTCTCTCCATGCTTGTCCCTTCCCTACTCTTTACTCTATGTAATTCTGGCTCTGGAAGGGTTCATCTCTCTAGCTATTTGTTTGTTCATCTGTTTCTGTCTGCCTATCATCTCTCCATCCTTTTCCCCATCTCCAACTATCTTCAGGTGCTGGTGGGTGTGGTGAAGGACGAGGGCTCCTACTTTCTGGTTTACGGGGTCCCAGGCTTCAGCAAAGACAATGAATCTCTCATCAGCCGGGCCCAGTTCCTGTCTGGGGTGCGGATGGGTGTACCCCAAGCAAGTGACCTGGCGGCCGAGGCTGTGGTCCTACATTATACAGACTGGCTGCACCCTGAGGACCCTGCCCACCTGAGGGATGCCATGAGTGCAGTGGTGGGCGACCACAACGTTGTGTGCCCCGTGGCCCAGCTGGCTGGGCGACTGGCTGCCCAAGGGGCCCGAGTCTATGCCTACATCTTTGAACATCGCGCCTCCACATTGACTTGGCCCCTCTGGATGGGGGGTGCCCCATGGCTATGAAATCGAGTTCATCTTTGGGCTCCCTCTGGACCCCTCACTGAACTACACCACGGAGGAGAGAATCTTTGCTCAGCGACTTATGAAATACTGGACCAATTTTGCCCGCACAGGGTCAGTGGTATTGGAGTGGGGATGGCCTCTAGGGGTCCAGGGGAGAAGGGTGCCCATGGATGATAGTGGAAAAAGGGAACCATCCGTACAGGGGATGGAGAGAACGTCAAAGATGATGCAGAGAACAAGGCAGGCAGAATGGGGAGTCCTTAGACAAAAACAGTTGGACACCTTTAATCCCAGCACTTGGGAGATAGACGATGTCAGTCCACTTTATATATAGAGTTCCAGGCTAGCTTGAACTACATAGTGAGGCGCATTTGGGGAAGGGATTGGGGTGAGTGCTGGAAATATGGCTCAGTGGTAGAAGGCTAAGGAACACAAATATATATGAGGCTATCCCAAGCACTGCAAAACATAGCTAGGTGACTGGCAAAATGGCTCAAAACAGGTAAAAGGAATTGCTGTGCAAGCCTGAGTTGGGTCGCTGAAACCCACATAAAAGTAGCAGAGAATCAACTTCACAAATTTACCTTCTGACTTCCACATCTCTCTCTCTCTCTCTCTCTCTCTCTCTCACACACACACACACACACACACACACACACACTCATCACCATTGTCATTTTTAAAAAATGTTAAAGATGAGAGAGAGAAAGGCAAAAGGATTTGGGTTATATTTACTGGCCTAGCAGGCACAAACCCTTGACTGCATCAGATTTCGTGTCATCTAAAGTAAAGGTGATATTTATTTGTAGAGACAGGACTGCAACTACCTACACAGCTAAATGCACAATTCTAGAATTCTTATTGTATTTTGAAATATGGTCTCATTATGTATTCCTGTCTGACCTGGAATTCCCCATGTAGAACAGGCTGGCCTTAAACTCACATAAACCTGCCTCTAGCTTCCTGGGTGCTGGGATTAAAAGTATGTGGTACCATGCCCAGCTAGAAAGTATTTTTTTTAATGGAAGGAGGAAAATAAAAGTGGAACAAGAAAACAAAGGGAAGTGGAGAAAGAGACAAGTCCAGTGGAAAGAAAACCCCCTTTGGTGTCCCATGTATGTAATCCCTGCACTCTGGGAAACTGAGGCAGAGGTATTGCCAGTGACATGCGCGCGCGCGCACACACACACACACACACACACACGAGAGAGAGAGAGAGAGAGAGAGAGAGAGAGAGAGAGAGAGAGAGAGAGAGAGAGAGAGAAGGAAGGGAGGGAGGAGAAGGGAGAGAGGCTGGCTAGGGGGTAGGGGGAAGAGAGGGGAAGGATGACTTGAAGAAGGTCCAGTTAGGAAGAGGACCAGCGGCTTCATTCCTTATCCCTCTAGGCAGGCTGAGATTTCCCTTTCCTTCTGCAGGGACCCCAATGACCCTCGGGACTCCAAGTCCCCACAGTGGCCACCATACACCACTGGAGCTCAGCAATATGTGAGCCTGAACCTGAAGCCCTTGGAGGTGCGGCGGGGGCTGCGCGCCCAGACCTGCGCCTTCTGGAATCGCTTTCTCCCCAAATTGCTCAGCGCCACCGGTAGGCGCGGGATCGGGGAACAGGGAACGGACAAGGCGGCAAGGGTTGGAAGGAGGGGTAAGGGGGTTCGAAGGCAGGGTGTAATCCCCTCTCTTCTCCACCTCCCCCAGCCACGGAGGCTCCCAGCACCTGCCCAAGCCCCGCCCATGGGAAGGCCCCCAGGCCCAGCCCCGACTTATCCCTGTCCCTTTCCCTTCTCTTCCTTTTCCTTCTCCACTCCCGGGTTCCGTGGCTGTGACTACAGTCTCTTAACCTCTGGCCTCAAAGGACTCTTACTCCAGCATGTGGCTGGGAGGAAGGAAAGGGCCCCTCTCAGGGATACAGCGCCCGACTCCCTTCCCAAGTTGAGACAAACTGGACAGACTCAGGGATCTACACACCTTTGTTTAAGCGAACATTTCTTTTTTAATGTAAAACTATCATTTGGAAATTGAGCCTGATGTTGAGGGGAAGAAGGGCCCGGGGCTAGATAACGCCAGCCAATGGGGCTTGTAACCGCCAACCATTTCTGTATCTTCTCTCTTCCCCACCAACCCATGGACCCTCCTCCCGTTCTGATCCTGTCCCTCCCCGGCATCTTCCGATCATTTCTCTCCTCCTGTCTCCTTCCTGCCACTCCTTCTCCACTCTACTCTCATTCTCCGGATCATCCTGTTTTCTTTCCACCACTCCATTCGGCCTCCTTCGTGGCGTGTGTGGCGGTGCGCTCACACCCCCTCTCCGCTGCCGGACCTGTACCGCTTCCTCCTCCACTCCTGTGGGGCGCCCCGGGCCGCAGACACGCTGGACGAGGCGGAGCGCCAGTGGAAGGCCGAGTTCCACCGCTGGAGCTCCTACATGGTGCACTGGAAAAACCAGTTCGACCACTACAGCAAGCAGGAGCGCTGCTCAGACCTGTGACCCCGGGGTGGGGGAGGGGGAACCTCAGATCCCACCGCCCTGCCCGAGCCCCTAGCTGTACATATACTATTTATTTAAGGGCTGGGATGTAATACAACCGAGCCCCAGGCCCTGCCCACCCCGTCCCGACTTTCTCCCACCAGGGGCTCCCCATCTTGTGCATGTCTGGGGCCGAACTCCCTTCCCTGCGGTGCCTTCGCCCCTCTGGGCCGCCAATAAACTGTTACAGCCACTGGATTCTGTGCGACTGCCGGGAAGTTGGGGCGGGGGCCGAGTCACTGAGACGCTGGCAATAGAAGCCCCAGTATTGGTGCACATCCGGCGGAAGCAAGCGCTGAATCCGCCCCTTGAGGCGGAGCTTGCGACTGCGCAGCAAGGCTGGCTCGCCCGCACCTTTTAGAAGGTTCTTTCTTAAGCCGGTGTCTACCTGTGGCTTTTCTCCCGCTTCAATGTTCGGTAAGCGTTCCCCGGTTCCGCACGCCCATCCTGCCCGCCGATAGCCCCAGAAAAGACCGAGAACCCGGATTCGTCCCGCCTCGGTGACAGCTGCCCCACTGAGCGCCCTGGAGCTGCTGAAGGACGTGCACCTGGGCCTGGCTCTGCCCTGCCAGAGTCCAGCCCGACTGGCCCTCGTCTCGGGCCACTACCTTTACTATCACTACGGCTGCGATGGACTGGATGACCGCGGCTGGGGATGTGGCTACCGCACCCTGCAGACACTGTGCTCTTGGCCAAAGGGCCAGTCCTCTGGCGTGCCCGGGATGGCAGCCATACAGGCTGCCCTAGAAGACATGGGCGACAAGCCCCCCGGGTTCCGGGACTCCCGGAACTGGATCGGCTGTGTGGAAGCTAGCCTCTGCCTTGAACACTTCGGAGGACCTCAGGGGCGCCTATGCCACGTGCCCCGTGGAGCCGGGCTTCTGGAAGAACTGGAGCGGCTCTATTCCCACTTCAAGGAGGGCGGCGGTCCAGTAATGGTGGGAGGGGATGCAGATGCTCAGTCCAAGGCTTTGCTGGGAGTCTGTGAGGGGCCAGCTAGGGAAGCCTATGTACTGATACTGGATCCACACTACTGGGGCACTCTGAAAAGCCGTAGTGAACTGCAAGCTGCCGGATGGGTGGGCTGGCGAAAGGTAAGCAGTGTCTTTGATTCCAATTCCTTCTACAACCTGTGCTTGACCAGAAATAACCTGACTCCACACACCCTGCCTGCACTGTGGGACAGGCCCCGGAACTGAGTCTGGTCAGAGGCACCTACTTCTTACAGGTCCCCAACAGAGAAGTCTCTTCCAGCACCAAAAGTCCGGGGACAGGGACAACGACAAAGGCAACTAGATCTGAGTTCAAAGCCAGCCTGGCCTACCCAGCAAGTTCTAGGCTAGCCAGGGTTACAGACACTGTTCTGAAAATAATAATAAACTGGCATAATTCGGCTCACTATGGTCCAGCCTGTGTTTGGGGAAAGAAGGCATACCACACAGTTAAGAGACACTACCAAAGTGCTTTTACTAGCGGGAAAAATAACGTACAAAAAAAATTCTCAGCTGATGGGATAAAGTGGTCACGGGTATAGATGGTAGTAGATGTAGAGTGAGGGCAAGTAGACGGCTCAAAAGAAATCAACATCATCCGGGGCATCCAGGTCCCGATACTCCACTATGGCCCGTGGGTCTCCTCGAACCATCCTGTGAAATACAGGAAGTGTGAAATACAGGTAATATCAGAAGTCCCTGGTCAGGGGAGGGGGAAAGAAGCCAGGGCCTCTTTGCATACTCACCTGTTCCGAGGTTTCCCAGGGTATCCTCCTTGGCCTCGAAAAGCATCATAGTTCCCGCGACCGGCACCATATGGAGCATGGGGGTATGGAGGCCCTCCTGTTGGGACTGCAGGGCGGACAGCACCAGCTATGAGAAAGACCCAGGTTGAACTAAAAACTGACCTCAACCTCAGCCTAGCTAAACTCTGTAGCCCTCCACAAACATCAAGCCTTTGCATTGCCCTTCCAGACTCACCTCCATAGCCCAAGATGGGAGGCCGGGGCTGACCATATGGCATCAAGCCCTGTGGTGTTTGGTGTGGATAGGGAAGTCCTGGGGTCAGGCCTGGGGGGAGTACAACATGGACAGGAACATGAATTACTGCGGGGGGAGGGAGGGGAATGACAAGAGTTGTAGGAATAGGGCCTGGAGGTTAGTGGGGTTCACTTCTGGCAAAGGAAGAGATGTGGCAGCCCCCATGGATCGTATCTTACTCTGGGCAGGGCCAGGTGGCTGAGCTGGCTTGATCTCGGGCAAAGCTGGGCGCTTGGCATCTGTAAGGAAGTTGTTAAAAAATGCCACCTCCTTCTTCACCTCTTCGATCTTCTCTGCGTGCTTATTGAAGATATGTTTGCGTACAAACTCAGGACCCTGGGTGGAGAGGACGAGATGAGGACAGAGCCTGCTGCAGTCTGTTTCCTCCAGAACCCCACCTGAAGGTCATACAGCTCCTCCAGTCCTTTAGGGGGTCTTGCTGCCCAAAGCCACCTCCCAATCCACCCACCAATTCTTTCCACATCCCAGACCTTGAATTTCTTGCCACTGAGAGGACATAGCCACTTATCCTTGCCCAGTTCCTGTGTGTTAGAAGTGACGAACTTCTCCACTTCCTGCTCAGGGTCTTTACGACCCATCTTCTGGGCCTCTTCCTCAGAAAGGGATTCACGCACACTCAGCAGGGGGGTCAGTTTCTCTTCAAACGTCTTCTGCCACTCCAGCACTGTGTGGATAACAGAGAAGGCTTAGAGAAGGGTCAAGAGAAGACAGAGGTTGGACACAAAAGACTTGGAGGACCTGGAGTGTACCTTCTCCGTGACTGATACGGTTGGGGGGCATGGGACCCCGGACGTGGATTATGCCGCAGCGGTTGGGCATCTCGTCTTCATTGGGGTACTCACAAGTGTTGTAATAATCCAGAGAATGCACAATACGCAAATAGAGAAGGAGTTTATCTAAGACCTGAGGGAGATGAGACACAGGTCACTACTCAGCCCTGCACCCCCAGGGCCACACGACCCCAGACGGACACAAATGGCACCTTGATCAGCTTCTCATCCCTCTCCACATTGATCTCTGCCGGGTTGCCTTCCTTGGGAGGCTCCTCAGGTGGGGGCCCTCCACTGCTCCCCAGTAGCTCCTCCTCCTCCGCGCTCACTTCCTCAATCAGGTAATCAGTGATGTTCTTCAGGATGGGGTTTTGCGAGGGCAGGCTCTAACAGGGATGAGATGGACAATGAGGCAGGAAAGTCAACCCAGAAACTGGGACATCAAGAGGGAGGGACTTATACCACTTGTCACACTCCTGAACTCTTCCTTCCTAAGCCAGAAATAACTGATATTTCTGACAGATGGGGAAGACACCACCCAGACAAAGGGCAAATAAGGGAGGCTGTGGGTAGGACCCAAGGGTCACGAAAGGTAAGATGGCAGGTCCCAGAGTAGTGAGTTATCTCGGTTGGTTCTTCAGTCAGTCCCAGACTGAACTGTCCTACACTTTACCTTCTCACTACTTAGAGTGTAACTAGTCTAAGGAAATAAAATGAGTAGAGGGAGCACAAGGAGCCATGGGTGTACTGGAAACAATCCCCAGAGTCACTGACTGTGGGCGCAGGAGGTGTCCCAGGCTCAGAGGCCCAGAGCTGGGTCCTGTCATCCAGTGTGTGGATCAGCTTGGCTGCCAGCTTGATGTCATTGCGCACTATCTGCTTGTGCTGTGTGATGCCGTTGATGTTGCGGACACGACGGGTCAGGTCTCTGTTCACACCGGGACTCAGTTCACACTCACGGAGCTGTAGGCACACACACAATCAACAGACTGGCCAATGACTACCCCAGATGCTGCACCATGAAGACAGGGCCCTTTAAAGAACCTTGGTGGTTAAACCCAGACTCCCCAAGGGCAGGGACCAGAGGGGGCTGAACATGGTCACAGCCCCACAGCTTCTCTCAGTGGACATGAAGGGGTGGACAGGCAGAACCTGGCGATGCTTCCTGCAGCCCCAAACCCAGCACTTACTCGGATGTTCTGCAGGTTCCAACATATCTCTTTAATGTTGACACTGCGGTCAAAAGTCACCCAGCCACGGCGGAAAAACCTACATAAGAAAGCTTGTCAGTATGGTCCTGGGATGCAGCCAGTGTGACCACTCACTGCCTTGTCTCCTTGCACCACCCCAAGGTGTCCAGCTCCTCACCTCCTCTCGGGCTGGGGCTCCGACAGTGCCACGCGCATGAAGCCTGGGTATCTTTTACAAAGCTGCAAGAACCAAGGAAAGAGAAAAGCCACACCGTGACTCAACTCACTCCTTTCATCTCCACCCCTTTAGAACCCTACAGAAGTGCCCTTCACGGACGGGGTGCCGGTGCACGCCTTTAATACCAGCACTTGGGAGGCAGAGGCAGATGATCTGAGTTCAAGACCAGCCGGGTCTACAGAGCAAGCCAGAGCTAACAGAGAAACCCTGCCTCGCCAAGTGCCCTTCATCCTCCAACATCTAAGAACCACAATGCACACCAAACCAGGCCTCCCTATGCCAAAGGCAGCCTGCCATCTGAAGGATCTGAGCCTCAGCTAACCCTGCCCTCGGGACCAATGTCCCCACTTACAGAAATGATCTCAGCCCTCGAAATGTTGGGGGCAATGTTGCGCATGAAGAGAGAGCAAGTCTTGTGCAGGGGCCGGGGCTTACACTCCAGCCCCGCAGCATCCTTAGGCTTCTCCCTATCTTCTTCCTTGGGCTTCTCCTTTTCCTTAAGTGCATCTTCTAAGCAGGAAGTAGGAGTTAATACAACTTTATCATTCACTTGGATGAGCAGCAGTTACTACCAGACATCACCCCACAGGACCCCTTCCCACCAGTCAGACTATCTCTGGAGCAACCCCCCCCCCCCCCAGAATCAGCCCATGCAGTAAAATAGAGGAACAAGACAAGTGAAGCGCACCCGCCTCCTCTTTCTCCTCCTCAGCTTGGCCACTCTCAGACTCGGACTCAGATTCAGACACACTGCCCTCATCGAAGCTGTCATCACCACTGTGCTTCCGGGTTCCGCTTCTTGCCCTGTGAGAGCAACAGAATAGGCCAATCAGGACCCAGGGTCCGGCCCTGACACTTTGGCCTCATACAAGACACACTTTACCTTTTTGGCTTCCTTCTCAGCCTCTTCTTTCTTCTCCTCCTTGTCCTCATCACCCTCAGATTTCTTAGTTTTATCATCATTAGAACTGTCATTTTCAGCCTACATGAGGGGAGAGTTTCTGAAAATGTCAATCTTTCCTTCTGGACACGTCAGAGCCACCCCGCCTTCCCCAAATGAGGTTCCAGCTGTCAACCCCTGCCACTTGACCTGTTTGCCATCTTCTTTCTTTTCATCCTTATCGTTGACTTTGCGCTCGCCATCCCCCGGGCCTGGTCCGACACGGCCTTCCTCTTTCTTGTTGGCCTCCCCAGGCTTGCCTGCCTGCTCCTCCTCTTCCTCCTGCTCCAGGATTCGGAGATCATTCTCTGTGCCACCTTCCATCTTAATGACAGCTACCGACAACAAAAGCAGAGGTCACAACCCAAGAACTCTGGCTTTTCTCCTAGCCAAGACCTCCCCAGCCTCTAAGCCCACACCTGCATCTAACATCTTCACAATGGCATCAGCTTTGTCTATGTCCAAAAGAAGATTATCAAACCAGCCACTCTCCATGAGGGACAGGAACACCCTCAGTCGGTTCTGCAGGGCCCCTCGGGCCTCCTGCCGGCGCTTTCCCACCTCATCAGGGTGGTACTTAGATCGGAACCTGAGGGGAGATGCAAGCAGGGCGGAAGAAACAAAGCAGTTACTTAAGGCCCAGACCAGGCTGTGGGGAGGGGCCCAAGAAAGGCAGAACATAGCCTCTCACACCCACTGAAGGAGTAACATCAAGAAAGGGGTGCACTAAAACCACCCAACACCCCAAAAGGAACCAGAGGTGCTCTGGAAAGATGTGGGGGAGAACCAGGAACTGAGAGCTCTGTTTTAGGAGGACCATGGCTCTGGTCATGGCCGGGATTATAGGGCAGCTCCATCCACTGCTGTGGGAAGCACTAGTGTGCCAAGCTTTTAGATTCCCAATGCTTCAGAGGAGAGCTAAGGGGGCAGGAGCCCCAGAGAACCTCCCTCCACCCCAGGTGGAGCCAGAAGGAACCCTGAAGTGTACCAGATAGGAAAAAAAAGGCCAAAGGCAGGACACCTTTCTCCCCTAGTGGGATAAGGCAGTGGAAGGGACAGGAAAGAGCCAAGGGTAAGGCCAAGCACCCACACGGCCTCAGATAGGCCCATGGGAGGAGAGAGGGCTGGAGGGTTAGGATTTGGACAGAGTATGAAAAAGAAAGCATTTTAACAGGCCTCTGAGGGTAGGGGAAGAAA